ATACACAGAGAGATACTCTATTATATTAGTCCAAAGTTGATAATAGAATCTTCCAAATAGCCAAACTCTAGGCTCAAAATTTATAATGAAATTATAAAAATGTTTCACAATAACAAAAATAAACACCTAATGCATTGTACATCTGAACTGTATTTATGACACCCTACTAATTTAGTACATATTTGAAACCGCTTCTATAAGTTAGGTTTGCAAATTGCCGGAGAGAGATGGCCTTGACACAGTTTTTTGCCTTTAAAGGTGCTCATATTAGATACAATACTATTTTTGTGTTTTTTTTAAACAGAATTTTAAGAAAAAATATTTTATTCATACACTTGTCCAACTTAAAGATAACTATCATCCTGTTTCTTTTATGGACTAAACATTTTTTCAATGTTACAAAATACATTTTGAAAATACAGTTAGGAGTGTTATGACCTTGTCATTTATTTTATTTACTACCTTATGTACCACTTCTGTGCATCCAGTGCCAGCTGGGAGCTTACAGTTATTATTAATATGTATGTATTTATGTTCAGTACATGCAGGTCACTTTTACATTTGTGTGATATGAATGCAGGCTTCTGAAATGTGGTAGAATTTAGGGTAGGTGTGCAGATGAGTGAACTTTGCCAAGTAAGGAGGCAGAGGGTTGATGCTTCACAGAAGAGTATCTAACAATCTTGCATGTCTGTGGAAGCAGCGCCATGAAGAATGAAGCTTTAAAAAAGGAGGAGCAAGTTAAAAGGTGGGACACCTGATTGAACTTCGTAGAGTTTGTGAGCATTCAATTTACTAGTGCAAAAAGTCTAATATGTGTGTGTGGTTGGGAATGGGTGAAAATAGCTTATAAGTTATTACTTATTATGTATTTATTATGTTCAGTATGGCCAGTGAGGCAAGCTTGGAAAGACTTTGTTGTTGTTTTCCTGTGTTTAGAAACAGTTCAATGAAGGCTTTTAAATGCATAGAATGAGTAGATCTCTCCTTTAGCCAAGGAATCTTCTCTGGTAGAATGCTTTGCCTGCGAAGACTAGACGACCGAACTAACATTGTCCAAAACCATAAGACCCACCTTGATTTGGTTGTCCACGATACTACTAGATCCTACTTGTTCCTCTTTCAGCTATAGTGTTGGCACTGTTTTCTTCCTGTCTCCTTTCAATGGTTGGCTACTTAATACAGCTCCAAACATCATATTCTCACAAGACAGTATCTAAAGGCTGAAAAGCTGCTTTTCTTCACATGTTTTTTTTTTTTTTAATCAGAGAAAACTCAGAATCATGCAGGAGCCCTTTAATATCTTATGGGGGTCAAACCACATGCTCATCCTGACCCCGGCACTGGAAAAGCAAATATAATTAGTGATGAGCTGAATAATTATTCTCTTTTTTAAAGCTAGGCAGGGTTTGGGATAATAAATATCCAAATAGATTTATTTTTCTCCAGCAGAAACAATAAAGAACTGCTCTTGAGTAGGGAGCCAGCAGTGTTCACTCTAAATTTCATTGGAAATTGTGAGCAGGGGAGGCATTAGATTTGAGAATTAGGCATTCTGTTCATGGTGTAAAGCAGAAATTGACAGGTTCTTCTGTAAGCGCTAATAGGATCTCTCTCTCTCTCTCTCTCTCTCGTGATTTAAGCAGCTGAAGGCCATGTGATCTCTTGTAGCTACTCAACTCTGCCATTGTAGTGTGAAAGTGGTTATAGGTAGCATGTCAGTGAATAGGCATGACTGTACTCTCATAAAACTTTATTATTGTTATTCCATTGTCATTTATTTTATTTGCTACTTATGCAGTGCTTACTATGTGTCCAATGTCAGCGGGAGCTTACAGTTATTGTTTAAAATGTATGTATTATGTTCAGCACAGCAGCACTGTGGCCTGTGGTCTCTAGTGTGCTGACCCCTTATGTAGAGGATAGACACAGGATAGATGTCACCTGAGCATATAGTGATTATTTACTAGTATTTATTATGTTCTTTAGATGCCATGCACTTTTAAATTTGTGCTGATGAGTGCAAACTTCTAAAAGTATGTAGGATTTAGGGTAAGCATGCAGAATGAGTAAAACTTTGCCAGGTAAGGAGGCAGATGGATGATGTTTTCCAGAAGGAATATCTAACAAGCTTGCATGTTTGACAGAAACAGAAGCTACAAAGCCTGCACATTTGAAGAAATGAAATAGGAGGTACAAACCGTAAGATAATTGAGTGTCTCTACTCTTAATTACATAGAGAGACTGGGAGACAAGAGAAGCTTCAGCTGAAGTTAACGCTATAGTTTTCTTGTCACAAATCCATGGAGTACATGAATCTATTACAAGATTTCCACCCATCCATGATACAATAAAATGATGGAACTCCAGTGGATTTATTTGAAAATATTGGTGTTGCTGGGCATGGTGGCTCCTGCCTGTAATGCCAGCAGTGTTGGAGGCTGAGATAGAAGGATCCCTTGATGCCAGAAGGTCCACTAGCCTGGGCAACATACGAAGACCCCATGTCTATGTTTTTTTTAAGAAAATGTAGCTGGGTGTGGTGTCTGCACCTTAATCCCAGCTACTTGAGAGACTGAAGCAGGAGAGTTACTTGAGCCTAGAAGTTTGAGGCTGCAGTTAGCTGTGATAGCACATTACACTGTAGCCTGGGTGGCAGAGCAAGACCCCATCTCTAATAAAAATAAAATCAAATAAGTAAGATAAAATAAAATACAGTGCAATGTTGGTCTTTTGTTTTGGAATTATGTTTTTTTAATTTTTTTTAATTTAAGAAATGACAGTAATAGTTGGCTTATACAAGGCTTTCAAAACTGGCTTCTGCCCAAATCTCCATCTGCAGCCTTTTCTCTGACTGCCCTTTTATTTGCCATTACTGAGCTGCTCGTATGCCTCCGTCACCATCCCATTGATGTAGACAAATCATATGCTCTGAGAGGCTTCTCTCCCTCTCTTGCCACTGCCTGGCATTTGCTACCTTTTCTACCCTCTGCCTCTTTTAATGAACTTCACTCTCTAAGTCTCAGCTCAGGCTCAGGTATGATCCTAGAAAAGCTGTCTCCGGCGGCTTTTGTTTCCATTCTTTAAACCCCAGTGTTTACCACTTAGCAGGAACTCAACAAATCTTTAGTAAAATAAAGACTTTATAGAAAGATGATTGCTACAGTCTAGCAGCAAAGAGGATAGACATGTAAAGACATGACGTGCAGTTCGCAGGTGGTGGAGTGAACTAGAAAAATTTACCATGTACTGAGGGAGCCTCAAGGAAGGAGACATCTGTGTATGTGGTGAAAGCCGATGCCTGGAAGACTTGACATAGCTTTCTGAGC